GAGACAAATGAAAACTAAAGAGCAACACCCAGTTGAAACAATCACTACTGGTATTGTGTATCTAAAAAAATAAATCCAGCAGTATTTCACAAAACAACCTTAAAGCAGTAAGCAGCACTGGACAGCATTCAATGCTCAGAGCTGCTCTGCCCTAATCAACTATCGGAGCTGTGCATACTCCTCTGCTGAACTAGTGGCTGGGTCTTTTATTTTGCCACCAGGGGTTTCAGTGAGCAGTCCATAACTGTACGTTCAATCAATCTTGGTTCTGCTCTGTTGAGAAGCCAGAATTATTTGATAATTTTACCCGTACTAAACATGGAGACACAAAACAATTTAGAGCAGATGCATTAATGAAATCTGCCTCCATGTGATGGAATAAATAGGGATGAGGAAAAGAGGTAAGGGCAAGAGAGGATGGGGTTAGGGAAATCTAAAAGACAGACAACAAATTACATGAGTGGTTTTGGGTGTGACCTTGTTCCCGAATCTAACCCTAACCAGATGTATGTGGACAAAATGTATGCTGTGCTGCCCAACCCTACATGGAATTATGCAAATATTACCGCATAATATGTTCTTGGAACATACAGAATATTTTTGTATCAATGATTATAATATAATATAATATAATAAAAATATTTTTTTATATAATTCTTTATAAAAATTAAAGTGCTCCCCAAAAAGAAAATTGCTCATTAAGCTAAAGATGAAACCAAAAAACGTGTACTATAACTTGGGGTAAAGTTAGGACCCCCTACCTCCTTAAATGAGCTTACATCTATCAGCCATTTCTCTCACGAATCTCTTCCTTTGATTTAAGGAAACTTTGCCCTTCCCCTCACTTTCATTCCATTTCAATTGTGTCTAAATGGCACCAATATCTGGGCTTTAACTTGGACTAGTACTTTCAATTCTTACCTTGCCCCCAGTTATTCGTGGATTTTCTGATATGTTATTTGTCAGTAGCTGTGTTTCTATCCAAATGTGAACTTTGAAAAAAGTTGAAAAAAAAGGCTAATTCAATGTGTTGCCATTCATTAAGATGAATTTAGGAAGCCATGCAATGCGTCTCCCTATAAGCTGACGTTACGCTTGACTGCAGTAAATTGAAATCAGAATGCAAGTCCAAGAAATGACAAAAAATAATTCAACCGCCAATAAAAAACAGAACTTTACATGGAAATTAGAATTAACTTTACAGAGACTATTCAACCAGATCTTACAGTCAGACTGGTTCATAGTTTTCTATATAATGAAAACCAGCTGATTGCATCAACTTATTGACTAGACAGCAATCCCTCTCACCAAGCATGCACGTACTGTAGAGACAGTGGCGAGGAAAACTCCCTTTTAACAGGAGGATGAAAAAGAAACACTGCACTATACTGAAAACATTTATGGAGAAATATAGCTGAATATGTTCAGCATAACAATGGAAATGAATCCCATGCTGTCTAATAATTCTACTGATTAGGAGCTTACAGTATATGTAGTAAAGACATTTGGCCCTAGGACTGATGCCTGTGGTACTCAACAGGTAACCCTGGAGCATGAGGAAGATTTACCTTTAAGGTGAATAAACTGAAATATGTCAGATAAATAAGATCTAAATCAGCATAGTACTGCACCCCTTTATTCCTACAAAATGGCAAAGATCGACTGCATCAAATTCAGCACTGAGATCTAACAGGACAAGTTCTGATACAAGTGTATTATCTGAAGCAATGGGAATATCATTTGTGACTTTTACCAGTGTTGTTTCAGCTAAGATGAGCTCTAAAACCTGACTGAAGCTCTTTTAAAAGTTCATTATGTTTTAAGTGGTCACACACTTGTTAAACAACTATTTTCTTAAGAAGTTTAGATAAGAAATGAAATTTAGATATAAGTCAAGAGATGGTTTCTTAAGTAAAGGTTTAATAAAAGCTACCTTAAAAGCCTGAGGTACATATCCCTGTAAAATTGATAGATCAATCACACCTAAAATGGAGGAGGGAATTAAAGGGAACACTTCCTTAAGGCAGAGGTGGATTTAGGAACTTTGGGGCCCTAGGCAAAGACAGGCAGGGGGCCCTCTAAATTGAGAGATCAACACATTAAACAGAGCCATTATACAGATACATATATTTTAATGCAATAAACATACATTATTTGTTCTACCTTTTGTCCCTCTCTTCTTATCAAATTTCTTGCAGTTTTCCTTTCTTTTGTCCATTTTCTTTTCATATTGGCAATATCCTTAGTTGCCTTTCAATGCTGTCTCAAGAGGAATCAAAGATTCTCCAATCACTAAGCCCATTCTAACTTAGCTGATTGCTCCTTCCTGTGTTTCCTTAAAAGTTGACAGCAAAAGTAAATAGCCCAGTCCTACTTTTCACTACAAATAAGCCATGATTTGCTTATCTGTTTTCCATTTTTTCATTTAAATGAAATTATAGCTGTATGAATCATTACAGCAGAGAAGAGAAAGGAGAGTAGGAGGAGGGGTAAAAAATCTACTTGCTCTGGAGAGCAGAGTTCAGTGCTTTTATATGTTGTCGCCAAAGTCCCCAGTAACAGAAGAAAATCACTATATTTGGCGGTAATCGCTTTTTTGCAATAAAACCTCTAGAGAAGTCTAAAAAGTCACATACAGCAACAATACAGCCACAAAAGGGCTTAGTTCGCAACACTGCTCTTCCTGCCATTTGTTTTCAAATGATTTGCTGCTATTTGCTTGGACCTTTCTGCACATGTGCAGCAAATGGACTGATCCTGTTTGTTGGACACTGAATCTTGTTATAACTGTTATACTTTAACTGGATCAAATCAGTCTAAACCTGGTTCGGATTCTATGGTTACCTCAGATTCTGCCTCACCTTCCAGAGTTAAACCAATCACATTCAGAGGGGTGCCAATTATCTTATTTGTAAAAGGATCAATATTATTTATAAAGAATCCCATAAATCATTACTACTTAGAACAGGGGGATTGGAGGGTTCAACAGAGCTATGGCTCTGGGGGAGTTTGGCAACTGTATTCAAATATAAATCTAGGAATATTCTTATATTCTTCTATAATCAAGAAAAACATTCTGCTCTTCTTTTACAAAGGGTAATTTTATGCTCTAGGAAATTGCTTTTTCCAAACTAGGTAGGATTGTTGTGCGCATGTAGAGTGCCATTTCCTCTCCAGTTTTCTTGCATTTTCTTGAAAGTGTGCAGCTTTTTATCAAAACAGGAGCAAGATTTCTATTTTTAAAGTATGTATTTTTATACGCGCTGCGTTGTCTAAGGCAGTACACAGGGAAATAGCAAGCCCATCAACAAAATCGTCAGTTTGTGAAGTGGGAGTAAATGAAATATTTGCTATATGCAGTGTTGTTCAATGATACCAAGAGGGGGAAGACATTCTTTAAAATTTATACCTGCATTATCTGATAAGAATCTACTGAAATGAAATGTTCTTTTGGGAGAGGAGACCCCTATAATTTTGGAAGTTACTGAAAAGGGGTCACAGAGGACAAGATTTTGAGGAAATATTGCTATTTCTTCACCTCCAATACCATACTGTGACATTTCCCATTTTGAACAAAACCAATCGAGTCTAAGATAACATTAAAGGCTGCATTTAAGCTAACACCTTCAATTTGGACATGGATGTTAAAATCCCCCCTTTAAAATGGCCTTCTCAGTGTTTAACAGTAAATCAGATAGGAACTCTGAAAATTGATGGAAAAATTCAGAGAAAGGACCTGGTGCATGATACAAATATACATAATCCTCTTGCTGCAGCCAAGTTTCTGTAAGACGACATAAATCAAGTCGTTAACTCCTGTAACAGATCTTTTAAAAAAGGAGACCTTGTGATAAATAAACCACATTAAATATTTTTAACTTTTTCCTTGATTGGAGTCAATATAAATTCAATTAGTTTATCATGATTTACTCCTTTACGATTCTTTTCTAGTCTATAAAATTTTGGTCAAGGGCAAGACACTGTCTGAATGGAGTAATGGCTGGATAACAGTAGAGAAACTCCAAAGATGTGTGTTAAACTACAACTCTGCCCCTGGTCTGCACTAGTGACTTTTCATTGTAACGTGCATTGTTAAAACGTGTTAAAGTCTATCAGCTATTCATAGACAGACAGTTGTGTTGGTATGAGAAATGTGCATACATCTTATTGTAGTTTGCAAAAATTGCAGCCAAGATTTGTTTACATACCTGCAGAAATTTCTTTTGCATAATGTTTTTTTTTTTAAACAGTAGATTGCAGTGTACCACACTAGTTATTTGTTTTGTGTATTTTCTTGCTTTTATTGTGATGTAGAATACAAATACATGCCAGTAACACAATAGAATATTGACTTTTATCTTTCAAATGAGTGTGTCAATAGAATGACGATTTACTGATAATGATTAATTTTGAAGGTACTTCTTCTGTGTTGTAGGGGTTTGTTGTGGCCCTTCTTTACTGCTTCATGAATGGAGAGGTATGTCATTTTTCTGCTTTGTAACAGAAGTGTTTGTAATTGCACAAAGATTTTTCACACTCCCCCTTCTGGCTGCAGGTCCAGGCAGAGCTCCGGAAATGGCTTTGGAGGTGCCACAATCCAAATCACCTCACTCCTGGCAAGAGAAGCATGACTCAGATCACGATTCGAACCCATGGAGGCTTGGGTTTGCCTCCTTCTAGTGCCAACATCTCAGCTGTATGAGCTTTGCTTTTAGACAGGAAAAAAAATTCTTTGGAAAATCAGCAATTAAAAGGTGAAACCACTCTGTTGAACATTATGACCTTAATTCAACTCTTTTGTGAGATATAAGAGCACAAGTTTAACTGGTGGGTAAAATGGGTAAAACCTCTGAATGCTTCATCTAAGCAGAGGCTGTACAGTATATGGTCAGTCTAGGTCACAGGGTGCTCTATCATATTGATAAATCATAACTTCTACAGACCCCACTGTAGCACTGCAAAACAGGAAATAATAACTGATACAGAGCTGTCCATGGGTTCAGAAGGATTTTATATGCTGGTGTTCATTGAAACATTAATTCTGTTAAAGTTACTGACACTTCTTTTTCAGGTGAAGGCCCTCTCTCAATGCAATGAAATATTGCAGAGATGACATTTAAAAAATGGTTTATGGTCAGATCTCAGCATGAACACTATGAGCTGGTAAATAAGTGAATCCAAAATGCCTCAATGAGGAATTATTTTGAATTGTTTTCATAATTTAAGGTTAAAACACTTGGTTTTTAGCTATATTATTAGTGGACAATATATTCTCATTGTGATATATGTTAAGAACACAGCAAGGTTTTAAACATTTGGGCAACAAAGAAAGAATATAATCCTGAAGAGAACCAGGGGGGACTGAAATGGACAGGAATTAATTTCTAGTTTCAGTGATATATCATGCTGTTACATGCAGAAAACAGCATCACTGACAATAGACCCTGTTGCTCCAACATAAGAGCATACGAAACAACAAATGTATGTTGTTGATTATGACATGAAGGTGAATTTCCAGAAACAAAGTTAATCAGTTTGTTCTTCTTGAGGCTGCTTTGCTGGATTTTAATATTACGGCAAAAGCAACAGAATGTGGCATTTATTTGTGGGGAGCAGGTGTGGAAATCGATTCAATGAACTACTTGTTTCAGCCTTGGCACTCATGTTACAATCAATCATGGATCATCAATGCAGGATCCTGGGCCAAATATAACAGCCTATTTCTGCTGGTGGTGCTGGATGGGTTGATGAATGTTAGCAGTTTCTGCAGCAAAACATGTTTTAATGATGTAGCTGGTTAACAGTGTTGTTTCATTTACTTTTGTTTATCATACATCCATAGAGATGTTGGATAAAATGTCCACTTTGTGCATTTTAACTTTAATCAGATTGGATTATTTTCTATGAGGTGTCATAAAACAAGGAATAAAGGTGAATGAGTCTAAATAATTGTAATTTGACGCAACACTGTATAATTTTTCCCTTAGCAAAAAGTAGTTTATTCAAGTATACTAAAAGTGCACTAATTTCATACTTAAAATCAGGCAGTGCACTTAGAGTTTACTTATTCTATACTATATTTCATACACTAAAGTATACTTTAAGTATACTTTAGTAAACTTAAAAATGTCTCAATTTAGTTCGAAGAAGTATTACTTTAGTAATACTTCAAGTACACTAAAAGTACATTGTTTGGTATATTTTCTTAACTTATACTTAAGTATTCTTAATAGAATTTACTTCAGGTATACTACTTTTTGCTAAGGGTTGACCAAGGTATTATTTGAATTTGCAATATATTAACCAAGTTTACAGATCAACATGCAGCATGTGACACATATCAATGTTCAGTGTGGGCTGCCCTTTCAGAAACTTAAATATGTAATTTGTAGAGATTGAAATCTTTTTTTAACTAAAAGCTGTTATGAGCATCATGAATATTAGGAGCAAGCAGAGGCGATTATAATAGCATATAAAAATTTGTTGTCCCAACAAAGGTTTTTTTTACTGTGGCACAGATAAAATATGAATTATGTCATTGATGACCTACAGCATTTTTAGAGCACGTCTCTGTTGATGCAGAAAAAAATGAAATAAAAACCAGCCTATTACTGTAAAAAATTCCAACCTCCAATTTTTTTCTTCTTAGCCCTCTCTTTCCCTAAATTTCATTTTCACACCCGTCACAGATTCAGAAAATTGCAGAAATTAAGCTTTTTCCTTTGATAAGTTATACAATCAAGAATGTGTTAAAGTCAGGTTATTTAGGCTCTAATCGACAGGTCACTAATTAAAATAGACAAATTCCAATAATGATCTGATGTTTCACCACAGTTGTGAAAAACCAAGAAAGGGCAACTTTAAAAGTAACTGTATTATAGAGCACCTTATATTGGGATTTGTTAAAAAATCAAATCATTCTATACTGTTTACATAGTCTAATAAAGAAAGTTGTGTATTTGTAATTCCTTCATTCATAAACATAAAACATGCTTTCTTTAGGTCTGTCCAAATATGAAAAAATAGAAACCCCACATCTCATACGTTACATTTATTGTTAGCTGTTATATTTTTGACTGCATGCTCACTCCAATATTTTAAAAACATGGAGGATGGAGTTTAAGCTATTGTTTTGTCCCTTAGATCATGCATTTAATGATTCATTTATAAAAGCCGTTTTTAGTTTCACTCTAAACTGAAAAAAAAAAAAAAATGTCAGTCATTGGAAAGTACAACAACGTACCACAAATTTATTTTGCAGTTAGTTAACACCAGTAGACGTGGATGTTGGACATCAGAACACTTATACATGACTCAATATTACAGGTTGAACACAAGTTGATGAAAATTTGTACATTACTTTTCAACATCTAAGTTTTTATTCTTTTGAATGCTTGGCATTACGTTTACATGCTTACAGAATACATTCTATCTCTTTTCCAGTCATTCACATACACTCCAAAACTGGACCATAAACAACTTTACAAAAACACTGTCACAAACATTGTAGATTTTAGTCAAGAAATCCACCTGTATGGCAAAAATATACACTATTTATGATAGAGAAAAGACATCATTTGTACACCAGAGCAAAGTGATAGCAAGAAACATCTAAGAGCAGCTGAGAAGCAATAACTACATTCAAAAATTCATTGACAATCGGTAGAACTCACACACACATGACTTAACCAAACTGGCTCAGCAAGCCACAACAGTTGAAGAAACTGCATGTACGCACAGATGCATCACAAAATACAGTTCAAACAAGAGTCTGGACAATTCTGCAATTACAGTCGTTCATATCCTTTCAGTAAGAATCAGGTGGTAGTCAATTACTGAAGCTAATTAGATTAATTAAGCAACCCACTCTGTTAAATAAACGGCCTACTTATTTGGAAAATGTCTTTATAAAGGAGATCTCAGCTGATGGTGATTTTACCTTTACAACTCTGGCTTTTTAGTCACCCCAAATTAAGCCTTTATTTTTAGTCGGGATGTGGATGATTGATGTTAACTCTTCTAAAAAGGTGAGTATGATTCATTCTGCATTACACTAAGATAAATTTTCATCTATGAAATAAAAAGAGGGGAATTTGTAAAACTTGTAAACTGTACCCAAACTGCTTCAAATATGATCACTTATCTATTACCTAGTGACTAATATAGCTAAAGCAATTTCATGCTCTTGTCTAGCTATAGTTATAAAAAGGTAAATTAGGCCAGTATTGCTACAAACTGCATCTATACTTTAGAAAGTATTGCTATGCAATTCAAACTAAAGTATTGTCCAGCAATAAATAAACTAGCACATCTCATTTAGGTTAATATAACATTTTTCATGTTAATTGAACTTTTCAAGCTGGTATTACTAACTAAACCCTTTAGTCATAAGATTTCCTTTTTGTTAATGCTTTTAAATATTAAAGCCAATATAAACCATAAGTCATCACATCCTCCTTTCTAAACCCAATCAGCGATGTACAACTCAAAGATATTGTCACTTGGATCTATGCTGGCCGGCTCCTCAACTTAGTTTCTGTTATTGACTTTTTCAACTTGGTGCTTTCTTGGTACAGATTGGCAACAATTCACCTCGGGGCTGACCAGGGCTAAAATGTAATGTGAATAGACTGCTGTTTACTTATTGGCCATTGTCCCCGGTAGGCTTTAGTTCTTCCATAGTAGGTCACACTATGTTTTATTGCGACTACCGTCAGACATTGGTCTGAGGGATTCATAACCCCAAAGCCACCCACATGTGCAGAGGGCAGACCCATAAGAGCGCTCTGTTTATAAAAGTCATAACAAATGTTGGTTTCTTTATTATGACAATTATTAAGATGAAGAGAGGTGAGGCAGGTCTGTTTGGGTGTGTAGTGGAAGCCAAAATAATGATTTTAAAGTAAGAAGAAATTCAATATGACTGTTCAGACTCCATATGCTTTAAAAACAGTCGAACCAGTTTAAAACCACATATGGGGTGGCACACTTAAGGGGTTCGGACTGACATGAAAAAAATCAGATGTGTCAAGTCTGTGCTGAAAGATCAGAATTAACGTTTGCCTGCAGGGTGAACATGGCCAAGATGTCACCTGAATGATCTTAAAATATAATGTTAAAATATGATGTCAAAGACAGTTTGGCATTATCTTTATAATAACATGTACTGTAGGATTATTTTCTGTTGTCTTTTTTTTTTTTTTTTTACAAGTTCCCAAAATTTAAAACAAAGAAAAATATTCATGGTATGATAAATTAAGTCTCCAACTTGACTGAAAAGCCCAAGAATCATATAAAATATAGCCGTAACTATCTTAAATAACGATTTTGTTTTAATTAAGAGACTGAGATGTGTATTTATACAATAACAAACATGTCAATTTCAAATTAAGCTTGGATACGGTTTATATGGCTTGTCTAGTAATGTATGTAAAACAGTAAACAAGCATTTGTTTCATTAATTATACAAGTATAGTAGCTGAGATTAGAGATTCCCTCTTTCTACTCGTATTTTTCCTGCAAATTCATAATACAAAGCCTACAATAATAAATAAAAACATCCTCCTTTTATACTTCACCTCTATTATAAAGTTTTGCTTCCATCTAGTGGTACACAAATGCACAGCACAGGTATGGTCTTTTTTCACAGACAGTAACAGCATTAAAACATGGTCGTTTCTTTCTGAGGCTCAGACTCAGAATGCTGGTGACAGAAACACATAAGCAGCAGAGTTGTCTTTTATCACACCCCCCATTCACACCTGAAGCAGTGTTCAAGTTCCTATTCTATATATTTTGACACACTCCTACCATCTTGTTTTTTATTACTGGTAAGTCATTTTAGACCCAATTTTTCAGATGGACACAATCTTTATAGCACTTTGACTAAGTCCGCATTAGTTAGTGTAATAAAATCAGACATCTATGTTACAGACAAAAAGCTCTGTATACTACACGAGTCAATAGGTTACATTGCACATGATCAATGGAAAATAAATATACATCCATATCTGTTTCACAGTATAATAAATTAGAATTCAAAGATACATTTATCTAACAATCTACTTGTATGAGAAAAAGATTCAAATTTAAATTAAAAACATGAGGGAAAACCACTCTTATGTACATCCTTTCAAGTTTATACTGAACTCTGTTTCCATTTGTACAGTAATTTCTTTTTAGATGGTTTGACCACAAAAAATTATACAAAGTAACACTCAAATGCGATTGTCAGTAGCGGAGAAATTAAAGCCTATCTTGATCACTGACAACATTTATGTTTATAATTTGAAGCCAATTGGTTGGGTGATGAAATAAAAATTTAGAAATAGCAGAAGCGATGAAAACAGCTCTGATAACCAGACATGAAAAACTATATCTTTATTTTAATATTATTTGATAAGGAAAGGGGCTTAACATCTTTAAAAATCGTTCTATTCAGAAAGAAACACACTACACTGTATATTCTCACTGTATATTCTAAAGTGACTTGATTCGACTTTATGTTTAGTAATATTTAAAGTGACAGCTGTTTGGATGAGTAGGCACTTCGGAGTATGAGGTGTCTAATCAAATTGAAAAAGGAGCTGTGTAAAGATGGCACCATGGACGTAAGCTCACCAGGTGTGCACATAGTATAAACACCCATAATAAAAACAGCATTTATAAAATTATGGCAGATGACAACATTTTTGGGAAGATTAGACTGTTTTAAACCGTTCATGTTCACAGATAACAAATTCTAATTTTGTTGAAATCTATGGTGAAGAAAACCAGATCCCATTGAGTAGTTTAATGGCTCACATTGTTCCGTTTGCAAGTTTTTACTAGAGATGCAGTGATTCGATACCTGGATCAGATATTGTCTCCGAGATTAACTAATTAGCTGGATCGATTATCTGTGATTGATATCGGATATCAGATATCCAATCCAATCCACTTTACAAAGAACGGTTATTTCTTTCTTTTTTTCTACTTATTTGTCAATAAACAATATAAAGTACATTTATATCTGTGTTAATTACCTTTTTTTATAAATGTTTATGTCGAGGCTAACGCCTTCAGTCACATGGCAAGATTTAATATTCATTCGTTAAACAGCTGAATAAGATCATATCAGATATCGGCAGATACGGTCAGGCCAGGTATCAGAAAAAAATGGATTGGTGCATCTCGAATTTGTAACTATTTTCTTCCTTCCTTTTCAAATAATACAAAAAATTATGTCACGCCAATGTACTGTAAATACCCAGCATAAATGTAGGAATATCTATGTTGTTGAAATGAATAATTGAGATTAATGATTTTGAAATGCTCATATGTCACTTTTTAGTTGTGTGTCGTTATTGTCTGAAGCCAGTGTAATTCCCTCCATTCCAAGTTATTGATATGAAATATAAAGGATTATGAGCTCCAGCCAAACCCAAATAACCAAGTGGCATGCTGACGGCACATATACAGTAGCTATTGAAGTCATATAATCACATTTTTGATGTTAGAGTTGATGTTAAGCAAATGGTACAAACCTAAGTGACATCATCAGTGCTCAACATCCTCCTGGCAGCTATAAAATGATTCATGGCCAGCATACAGTGTCCTGTGGCAGACAGTATCATTTCGTACCGTTAAAAATTAGGCTAAGGAAATGAACAAATCTGCATGAATACAAAATGCAAAACAGGACAAAAAGACCAGTGCTCCCATATGTGAATTATCCATTTGGGAGGACAAAACAAATCAAAAAGTCGTACAAAATTCAGTAATTGATACTGTGCAGTTAATCTCTTATCTTTTATATTATATGTTTTCCTTTTTTCCTTTTTAAAAAGGAAAACAGTTTAAATTGAGAGAGCATGATCTACTGGTTCCCCTGCATACACGATGGAGTCTACAGATTTGGGCTCCAGTTCCTTTTATTTGAAAAGGTTTTTACCAAACACTGCTATGCTAAAGAGATCTAATCTAGACACTAAAAGTAATTATTTACACACAACCCATAAGCTATATATATATATATGTGTATTTTCTATTTTTGACATACTCTGTACTTACGGCTGATTGTAGAAACATGTTTAAATTCAAGGTGAAACATGTACATATAAACGTTGAGCATTTTCTACAAGCAAGGCGAGCTTTTGGTTGTCTTTTAACTTTGGACTGTAGTGATATCGAGTCGGGCGAACTGTATGGCACTTTGAAGCACATTTAGGTTACACAAACAGATCAAACTTGACCCTCAAACATTTAACATTAAAGCATCACCGTTTAATTAGTGTATTTCTTTTGCACAATCCCTCTGTTTGTATTTCTAAGAATATCTTGCTTATAGGGAATTGGAATTGAATTAGATTTATCTAAAATGATAAGGTGCTGCAATAATAAAAAAAAAAATACCACCTCCAGTATTTGTAATTCTTATATACCCAAATAAAAATCTCTAGTAAAATGGTTTTTATCTTCATTGACCGTTTTCATTTTTATAAAATAGAAAATATAAGGGTTGCAAGGGGCCACTTTGGTCTGCTCTGGTTGGTCTACTGTAAGTGGAACGGCACCTTGAAGTTGACTCTGGACAATCAGACGTTCAGGTCGGCAGGCTGATGTTGGCGTTCTCCGCCAGTGGGCTGGACATACGTATCTGCGAGCTGCTCTTGCTGAGGATCGACAGCTGAGTTCCGCCATTCACCCCACTGCTGGCTAACGAAGGGTGCCTCTGCTGCTTCAGGTCCACAGCAAAGTACCGGTTCACCGTCCAACTGCGCCATTTCCTCTTGATCTCTGACTGCACCTTCAGGGAGAAACTTCACAAGGTCATTTTTAATGTACTTTAAGCTGTACCAGCTCCAACAAAGGTACACTGTTTTTGGGAAAGTACTGAGGGTAAAATAGGATCTAAATCTATTAAAAGTCAGTAATTAACCAGTCAGCAAGTCAGTAATTTTTGATGGAAGGTTAACATGTTAATGGTAACACGGACTACATACAAAAGGTTTTTAAATGATTTATTCCAGTTTTTCTATTTCCAGGGAGCTGATGACTTTGCAGCAAGTGCATTAAAAGTTATTCTGTTTAAAATATGTGACAAACTAAGTTTTATATAAAATATCAGGTTGCTATACAATAAAAAAAAAAAAAAAACTTTGAAAGTTTTATATGTTGGAACTGAAATTATGCACTAACATCCCTTTTTGCTTATCTGTAAAAAAATCAATATGTCTAAAGACTTTCTGAAATTATTTCTCTCTCTTTAGATCAAGCGTCCCCAAAGTCGGCCATGAAGGACCACTACCTTGCTGATTTTTGAGGTTTCCTGCTTGAACACAGATGACTGCAGTTCCGCAACAGCCTGTTTATCAGTAATCAGGCATACTTTTGATGTTTTTACTTTGTTCTGTTTATTAGTCCTATATTAGTACTTATTCTAGTACCTGTGGTTTATTTTCTGCTTTTAGGCCCATTTCTTGACAGATTAGAACTGATTTGGTGCAAACCTCCTTAAAGAATATATGCAAACATTACCATAAGATTCTCTTACATGACAATTATATATTGGTTACTACTGTTACTACTATTGATGCCTGTGTAAATCTTCAGTCATCAAGGTAATAGCAACAACAAAATGGGAAAAATTGAAACAGAAGAATGATTTTCGTGGAAGTCCAGTTGCCCCTGTTTAAGCATGTTTTGTGGTTACTACTCTGGTTTTTCAGGGGCTTCTCTTTGACAGTATAACACACACACACACACACACACACACACACACACACACATATATATATATATATATATATATATATATATATATATATATATATATATATATATATATATAGCATATGAAATGAAAAGTTAAAAACTCCCAACTTTTCCACTTTTCCAGCTCTTCCAACAACTAGTCTTACATACCCTCCCATTAAAGAAAATTGTAATTTCACACTAGTAATTCAAATAACACAAAACTGAAATTATAATATTGACTAAATAATAATTTAGTAAAATAAAATGTTGATTTTGAACTTTCATAAAAAAAATTCCTTGGTGACAGTTTTACAAAGAGAGAACATTTTTGCTGGTCCTCTCAAGCTATTTTGCTAATGTTAAGCTAAGTTTAGGGACTAAGGAGGCATTGGGTTAAGGTTTGGGAGAGGTATGCACATGTAATGGTTAGGATCAGTTTTAGGGTTAGGGCATAGAGAGGGTTGAAAATGCCTGAAAAATCAATGGAAGTCAATAGGAGTAAAAACATGGTCCTGACTACAGATGTGTGTGTAGTTAAAAAAATAGTTGAATTGTTTGCATTTAAGTCTGTGGAGATCAGTCTTACAAAGCATTAACAGAAAATAGGGTTTTAAAGATAGATATAAAAAAGAGAATGAGATAGAAGTTGAGAAAGACTTTATAACAGCTTACCTCTCCATTAAGGAAACAGTAGAGAACAGCTACCACAAAGCCCTGAGAAGAAACATAAAAATTAGAAATTACAACAGTGAACACTACATGGATAAATGTTAAAACATTTGCTAATATTTAACTGTCATAACTGACTGTTAAATATGACTAGTTAATATGATCTAGGATCTATGATCTAGGAAAAAAAAAACTAGGGTTTGAGGCTATTCTACAATTAGTTTGCAAAGAAAATTCTAAAAAGAACACAAATGTTTGTCGTTGTTTACAACGCAGATTAAAATGTGGTTTCTAACTAAACTATGGTTAAAAACTGTTTAAGAGTAAATACTTTAATTCATTATTGGACTGCTGTCACTTGAACCTTATGTTCTGGAAAGATGAGAAAACAAACCTGGAAGGATCCAAGACCCAATTCAAAGACCAGCCGCTCCCTCTTGCTCACATCCTCAGGCGAGAAGGCGAACACAGTGTAGTGAATCCCAAACAGGGGGATGAGAAGAAGAGTGGAGCGTGCTAGACGACTAAACACACACACACCAACAAAATGTCATTATTTGAACTTTTTAATATCCACAAAAAAATCTATTTAAAGTGAATTTATTGCTGTTGTTCAGACTCAGATGAGACAAATACATCGTATACTGATGCAGTGCTACATGCCACAAATTAAAGCCATAATTTCAAATTGATTAAAGTATATCTTAATGGAATGGATTTCACAATTATTACTCTGTCTCTTATAATCTCTAATGATCATTTTCAATTATTTCTTATTGTCAATAAATCCCCTAAAAATATGTAGAAACTTGTTTTTTTTAATCTAAAAGGTATAGATCAGTGAACAATGATGTTATTTTCTAATAAATGTAAAAAAAAAAATTTACCGGTAAGAGTAATCATTACTTAAGTATTGCCTTTTCTTAAATTGTTCATGATGAAAACAAATTTCTTAAATCCTTTTCTTACCTGTTTAATAGTGTACTAGAAATATGGCATATTTGTTGGCAATAAGAATATAGAGTTATTTTACTTTTCTTAAAGCATGTTTCTTTATTTAATAAATTTTCAGGCCTTTATCTTTGTGGTATGCATTAAAAACCCAGCTACACTTACACTATGACTGATGGAAATACAAAAGACAAAAAAAGGAAACAAACAGACAACAAACACACAAATACAATAAAGACACAGCTGTGCAAATATTTTCATCAGTTGATCTGGGTCTTAAAACCTAAAACGTCAATCAATAAATAAAGTAACTCTTAGCCAAATACATGTTCATCCTCAAATATCGAGGAGAGACCTTAAGCTATGGGGATGTGTTCATTTAATACACACCAATTTTAGAGCACTAGAAAGCAAACAGGACTTTTCAAATAAGTAAATTTGGAAGATTTAAGAAGAAAGCCAGGAGGTATTCAAAAGGAAGCATCCAGATTAAACCCGTAAATGTGTCTGTTACAAATTTACATTGACAGCCCAGTGGTTTATTTAAAATTACAACTAAAGTTATCTTTCTGTCCAACATGTTAAATTGTATGGTCAAGTGATTCTAACTATTTAAAGTTTTAAACAAATTTACAACATGCCACAGTGGTGAAATCTAGCAGCTTACAGACAAATTGAACCAAAATTATAAATACATAAAATTTATAAGCATAATTTATGTTCTACGTGTTAACTCTAGATGTATTATTTAGAATGTACTCTTTTTTTATTTATAATTTAAAATAAAAACATTTTGGCTCCCTTTTTTATTGCAGCCCTTGGCAGCTGGCCATATTGTCCACATAAAGTAATTTCCCCCTGGGATTATTAAAGTATGTCTGATTCTGATTCTGATATCAAACTACCTCTGGTTGAACTGCATCTAATCCATAACATTCACATAGAACTACCTTTTTAGAGCTTTCTTCTTCACTTTTCATTACAAGAAAAAAACCCAACAACCTTGCTAACATAAAATTCTACAGTCAAACTAGTATGACAAATTCCAATCAGTTAAACAAATCCCCTTCGGGTTTAAAACTGTTTTTAAATGTAATTCTATTGTATTTATTCTATTATTTTATTATTGGTGTAATTTATTCAGTTCTATTTATTTCGCTTTTTAACTTATGAATTAACCATATTATAACAATATTCAACAGACTAATTACCATTGAGAAACTTGTGTTGCTTTTTGCTTTTCCTCAATATTGACAGGGAAACAGGTTGGAGTGGATAGAGATTCATGGAGCTTACTTAGGGGAAAACAAAAAAAGTAAAATGGTGGAAGCTGACCTTCTATCAGAACTGGTTCACAACTTGGCCCAGTTTTAATTTAATTTCATTTTCTGGAAACATTTGAATCAATTTAACTGTATGATCTGGTGAACTGTAAAGTAAGATTGAGATAACATGTATTGTGAATTGGCGCTACTGTATATAAATGAACTGAATTGAATTGAATTAATAAGCACTATATCTGAAATCTATGGCACAAAAAAAAAGAAAAAAGAAAAAAAATGAATAAAGAGGAATATCGGTCCTACGGTAATCATTTTATGTTTTTATGAGCTAAACAGACATTTCATTTTATATACATTTCTTTTATACTTTGGCTCCTCAAAAAGGCTGAAATAGATTTCAAACCTAAATGAAAACACCTCTTTTTATTCTATTACATATTCTTCCCAACTGCAGTGAACAAGTCTAACCTAATATGTACAAAACGTGTAGCTTAAAAAGAACTTCATAAAATTATCTTATATATAAGTCTAAAATCAGCTTTTAAATAAATGGATTAATGTGTTATTGTTGGTTATTGCTTCTCAGTCTAAAGTGAAAAATGATTTTCCTGTTTCAGAAACTGCAAACCATCTTCTGCAACCATCTTATCTAATTCTAATTCTCATCCTATTAGATTTTTCTCCTGCAATCAAAATTTACAAAAAGAATTTAGATGAAAATATTCTAAAATTTCCAAACCAAAATTAAAGAAAACAAACAAAAACACATACATTTCACTTGGAATTCTCAATCACTAATTTGAATTTCATTTTAAATTTTGTTTGTTAAAATTTATGATTTGTTTTTGTTTTTTTAATTCCTGGCATAAAACAAATACACACAAACATATATACATACATGCAGTCAACATAAAGAAGCCACTCACACACATACACACTCACACTTACAGTGTGATGGTGGATAACTCTGACATCCTGCACGAATGCTGAACAGCCTGTGTGGGCTCACTGAAGCATTTCTGAGCACAGCTGCTATACAGCACAAAGACAACACACAATACAACAAAGACAATGTCTTTAGGGATGCAGTCTCGCACACGAGCACTCATCTTCACAGTCTGACACGCACGCCTGGACCCAAGCAGCAGACGAGAATGGCATTATCAGCAGAGCTTTAAAATACACAGTCCTGTGGGAGCTGACCAGGAGTGATGTCTGACTAAACTACAACTTCACAAAAAGCCTCAGGCTTCTTGGCAACAGGTAGTACATGTGAGTGCAAAAGAAAGGTGGACACAACAGGTTATAAGACAGTTGAATACTTAGCTGCGTCAAGAAGATGGTTGTTTTTTATTCTGTATTGCACTAATTATTGAAGTACAGTTGTGCTTGAAAGTATACATAGCCTCCCATTAAAGAAAATGATAAATTCACATTAGAAATTCAAACACAAAACTGAAAAAAGTTACATGAATACAAACTTATTAAATGAAATAAAATATAGATTTAGAATTTTTATAAAAAAAAATTAAAAAACTTGTCAATACGGGGATAAGTCTGATGGAACATTACAGAAAAGAGCTGATTTCAGTGATTGCCTCAAAGGGTTGTTGTTTTTTCTTTCTTTAATGGAAGGGTATGTAAACTTTCAAGCACAACTGTAGGATTGTCCACCAATATCTCACACAACATAATTTATATTTAATAATATAAAAATACAACTTTTGAAAAAAAAAAAAAAAAACACTGCCCAATATTTGTGCCTTAGGACATCAGTATGACTCACTAGTGTGTTTTTAAGACATAAAACATATTAAAATCCTAATTTATCCAGGGTTTTTAAATTAAAACAAACAAACAAAAAAACAAAAAACAAAAACAAGTTAATAAATGTATCACTTTATCAAAAATACATGGGAGTATAATACAAAAAAGCCATCAAAAATACATCTTAAAATGATTGCTTAAATATTTGACTACTATAAGCATATAGTTTTTAATGTAATTTCTTTAATGCAACTTACAGATAAATGCTGGACTCATTTCCTCCAATGTCAGGGGACTGCAGCTTTTGCACCAAGATAATGATAATTCCAACGAAGAGGACAAAATTAATCTGCCAAAAAAAAAAAAAAAATATATATATATATATATATACACACACAGATAATGTCAGTATAAATATTCTATAAATATAATTTTACAATATATATATATATTGGGGGGGTTGCTAGTGTGGGCCCTTAGGCAAGACCCTTCACATTAATGCCTGCTTCGGGGAGTGGCAGCCTCGTGGTTAGGGCATCGCGCTTGGAATCCTGAGGTTCTGAATTTAAGCCCCTCTCCCACGGACTGCCACTCTGGGTCCCTGAGCAAGGCGCTTAACCCCACACTGCTCCTCGTGTGTAGCACAATGGCAGGCCACTGCTCCCCAAGTGAATGGGTTAAATGCAGTGTGATCATTTCATTGCTCTGTACTAGTGACAGTGTAATGATAAAAAAACGCTGGAAAATGTTATTTGTAATCAACTGCTAGTCTTTACTGATTCTTAATATTTTACACAGTCAGGCATCAAATTCCTTCAATATCATGTTGATTCATTGAAAAAAATTGTTAATTGTAGTTCATTTATTTAGGAAATAGTGAACCTACCATTATTGAAGCCACTATGGGTCCTTTGATCACCCACCAGAGGGCAGTATGCTCATTCGTATCCCAGCATCTGTAGAGGATGACCAGCATTTCACTGAAATGGCCACTGAAACTCCCTTTAACATCATTCCAATTCAGTTCACAGATGATTGTCATCAACTAGATATGTGCCTAAATTTACCAGTGCATATTCACCCTGTATTCTATGAACATAGGGAATTTGCAAAAAGAAATCTAACAAGTGGTACTTTAGGAAAGACACACATTGTCTCAAGCTGTTTTTGAAAGAGTCTGTGTTTATTAGTCTAGATATAAATACTGTATTGTAGTTGTCATGCTTATGTCACTTCAAGGTGATCTGATGCCAAAAAAAGAAATGCTTGAAAAATAATTTTCCATGAATTTCATATGGAGATTACAATTTTGGTGCCTTCATTGAACATTACACAAGAGAAGCCAACTCCCCAGTGATTGGATATACTGATTCTGTGCTCAGCTCATTATTTTTTTCAATATGTCTCATTGAAAGAAAAATATTCCTATGGGAGAAGCCATCTCACTAATATGTGAGAGCATCCAATCATAAAGCAATGGTTGCAAACTGCATGTAGGTACTTATGTACACACATATGAACAGACACAGAAAAATGTGTTACATACCCCGTGTCATGGAAATGAAGCCTCAGAACAGCCCAGACAGTAACACAAATAGTAGGAGTTCCTGCTCTCAATAACAAGAAGTGATTAAGCATAACAAACACAAATTAAACCACTGGAAAATATTTTCATTCATCTTTCTATTTAAAAAAAAGAAAGTGCTGCTTACCCCAGCCTACGATGGTGTACCAGTAGAAATAGCGTCTTTCAGGGAAGAAAGTCTCAACCAGCAGAGTAAAGAGATACAGGCCTTCGATGAACAGCCAGAAATAGTTGGACATCACGCAATAATGGAAGAAAATCATAACTGCTTTACATGCCACCTGAATGAGGAAACACAGGAGCAGGGCTCTAAGAGTAGCAGGCTGAAAAACACATTCTGTTTAAACTGTGATTTGTGCAGATTATTTGGAAACAGACATCAAATCTTTATCTAGACCTGCTGCTTCACCCCTTTGACTTCCTACCCAGTTTAAACAGTATTTGTGGGCAAAAATAAGTAGTTAATTAGACTAACTAATTCCCATCCTTGCATTAACCCTTCACCAGGATTACCTATATAATCCAGAAACCTGATGTTTCAGATCAATGCTTCAGGACCTCAGAGGGAAGGTTTAAGTGCAGAATTCTTTGGTTGTTTGAGTTTCAATTTAGCGGCAAGCTCACATTAAAATAAATGCCCACGTGCAAAAATATCACAAATCTATGGTCATTTAGAATTTAGTCAGCTTTAGGGATAACCTGAATGTATAATTCATGCTCAGTTGTTCAGTCTTAGACTAAATCCATTCTTGTCCGTCACACTGCAATGATTATCAATGACCTTTAGCAGTAAGATGTACACTGTAGTAGATTCTATGTCTTATTCTATTTTATATCTGCAATGTGAGCTTTTTAATTGCATCTATATTCTTGGCAATTAATAAATAAGATTTTTCAGGCATGCCCTTGTGCACAGGCCCTGAGGATGTCACAGAATAGTACTGCTAAGAGTTTTCTGAATGCTGAGTCAGACAGATTAAGAGAGAGAGAGAGAGAGAGAGAGAGAGAGAGAGAGGGATAGGTTTTCCCCTCGACTGAGCAGGGAAACGAGAGGTTCAGAGCAACAGGTCGTGAGATCTACTAGTCTATTGACCTCATTAAGAGGTGACACAGCATGGCTAAGACCAAGAGTAAGGTGTGTCTAATCAGTTTATCCAAGGCTGTTTTCTGGTGTGAGAACCTGCTGCTTTTAATTCTCATTTCTCTTTTCCAAACTCTTCATTCATCATATTTTACTGTTTGATGTTTACGGCATGAGTATAACTTCTAATATATTATCACCATATAATCCTATTTAATTTTGCTTAGATTTGAAAGTCTTTGCATGAAGAAATGATTGTAAAGAATTGCTACGGATCCACAGAATAAAATAGGTCTGGACGTTGACTGGGCCATTACAACATTACAAATGTACTTCTTCTTAACCCCCTATTTTAGCTCTGGCTGTGATTAGGTTCATTATCCTGTTGAAGGCATTTCTTCCCTTAAAGTCATGCAGTTTGTAGCAAGTTTTTTTTTTCGGAATTAGCTGTATTTAACTCAACCCATCTACCTTCATATTAGCCTTAATAACTTTCCTTGTTCCTGCAGAATGAGCTTTCGCTCTGACCATTGTCTATGTTTTTTACTTTTTGTTTTTTTTAAACAGTGTTGTCTAACAACATATTTTTCTTTTTTCTCTTTTTCTTTTTTTTCTCTAAAACATCTGAGGCTACACAAAGAACATAGGTATTATATTAAGATTATGCTCATGTGAACTCAAATGACTAATAAGGTAATTTCTGAGGGCAGTTAGTTGCATTGGAACGTCTTTGGGGATCTACCATATATGGTCAAATGAGGCTAAATACCGAGGCATCACAGGATTTTCAGGTCATTATAAAAACTTAAAAACATTGGAAAAGCATGACTAATTCTCCTGCTTAACAAAAAAGCAAGAAGTTATATTTATTCATTCCCATAATACAAATTACATGGAAGATTTGGCTGGAAAGAAGCAAAATGCGTAAAAGTTCAAGAGGAATAAATGCATCCATTTGCATCCAGAATTTGGCTTAATTCCTGATCTGCTTCTTTATTAACATCTTACTCCAGTTTAACTTTACATGCAGCAGGGGGTTAATTTGATGCAAGAAGAGGAGGTGCTCCAGGAAGAGGAAGTAAAGGCTGAGTACTAAACTGTGAAAACTTTTTTTTAAATTCTGCTTTAAATTATGTTTTTTTCATTACTCTGATTACTCCAAATGCTAAACTAACATGTCTGGATTCATAATAATTACTGTATAAACAGATGTGGTCAGTCCAGTCATCAATGATTAGTAATTACCTCTAATTCCTCTTAAATGTTGCATGTACTGAATGTACTACCAGGAGAAATGACCCCCCCTTAATGTCAGGTGAAGTGCAATCTAGTGACCCCCTGTTAATGAATGGTGTTCATATTTAGAGTGGGGTCACACAATTACAGCAGTGATCTAATTCAAATTCTCCCCGTGATGACGACCTCACAATCACTATGGCAACAGAGGTAAAGGGGAACATTTAAAGAAAAGATAACAACAGGCATCCATTTGATTATGGTCTGCTGTAAAATTCAGTTGGCCTTCCCAAATCCATTATACATCCTCATTAATTAGGTTTACTTATCGTGCCTTCTTATGAAAATAAGCACAATGAGTTATTTTTGGTTAAGGTTCCTTAAAAATGCAAAGGCCAGGAAAACAGCAGAATATGTTTGTAACGACCCTAATGATTTAGTTATATATATTTGATCTTACGGTGGATTTTAGTTCAATTATTATATCGGACTTGGAAAAGTATTCATCGACATCAAAACTCCCTTCACTCATTTCTGGCAGCAAATGTGCAGTCTGAGAAGGGACTACTTAAAACAATAAAAATCCAGTTATGTAATTATCTGCTTCAGATTGATGTAAATAAGGTAATTAACCTTGCAATTTGGAATTAAATTCTCATTAATAGCTAAGCAAGGACAGCTGATTTTCCTTTTCTTCTAGTGAAAACCCCAGACACAAACACCCACATTCTTGTCAGTAAAAGCCCACCCAGGATATATGATAATCAACAGTGGTAACTGACTGTATGCACAAAGCAGTGGTCACTTTCTTCCTGAGCGTACAGCACGCCGTCCTTAATGAAGACGGAGATGGCTCTCAAGATGAAGGACACAAACAGGTTCATGTGAATGAAGTTTCTGGTGCAGTGCAGCTTCCTGCAGAGAGATAGTGAGCACAGTGAAATAATGCACATTTTATGATCCTTTGAGCTAAAAGAATCGGTTCTATTTATAAAACCATAATTCAAAAGTTTTCCCCTTCATATGTGTTTGAAATCGAGCCAGCTTTGTTGTTTATTGCATTAATAGTACCTAGTAGTTGTACAGGAGGTTTGAGTACAAATTACCATGAGTCTAAGCTATTGCAGACAAAATCACAATGGTGACAAGTAGTACCTTTGTTGACAAAACTTGGTCAAAATTTGAAATTTTTTATTTGTTTTTTGCTTTACTTATTGTGTCATTATATCAACTTTTTTACTAATCAGTTGTCTGACATAGCACATTCTAAAATAATAATAATTTAATAATTTCCCTGGACTCAGGAGAAGGAAAACTGTACTATGGGAGGACTCTGCTACCAGTTGATTACATTTTGGGTTTTTAGCAAACAAAGCTTTTCACTCTTTGCAGTAAAACTTATAGGGATGCAACTGCCTGCAACCTCATATTTGTGTGTCGTCAGTAGCTACATATCCAGATATCCATGGAGAGCGGAAAACTGTGTAACAAAACAAAGCTTAGCATAGGCATTAATATATACAAAAGCACAAATATAAATGAATAATGATAATAACAACAATAACAATAATGACAATACAATAAAAGAAAATATGCAAAGCTGTGCATATGGTTAATTATAAACTCACAGAATAATGTTAGAGAAAATGATAATATTAGTAATTTTATTTTTCAACTTGGTGGTATTATGATTTTATTATTTCATTATGCTGTGTTATCATTTACTTTTTTCATTCACCTGTTTGAAATACATAATTTCCTTTTATCTAAGAAATTATCTCATTTAATTTGTTTCACACCAATGACTACAAAGGCAAAACATATTATGCAGGGCAAAGACACATCTCCAACTTCCAGTGCAAGACAGGCTCCTGTCATAAGCAGAAACACTCAGCTGACTCTGTAGTCAGGTGCATCAAAGATGGACAAGAAGCTG